GGGAAAGATCATCCCCAGACTCTGATATTTTGCATCATTCACATTAAATAATCCTCCAGAGAAGACAAAGAGAAGCATTTCACAGTCTAGATCTAGTGTGAGGGTGGGTTTTAGAGCATTTACAATGATGCTGTAATCAATGCAGATTGCCTTCCAGTAGACAGGTAAGAACCTAAGCATCTTTGGGATCAAAGAAACACTGGTTGTAGAATAATCAGTTTAGAATCACATTGTTATCCCCTCATTTTGGTATGTGGCTTCTAAATTACCCTGCAAAGAATAGAGAGTCACTGAAAATTCTAACCTCTGCATAAAAACTGTTAAGATTTTTATTGGAAAATATCTTGTATGCAAGACTTGCAGTAAATGCATCTGTTCAATATCAGTATAGTAAGTATGTAGTACATAGAAGGCATTTATGAGTGTATATAATCTACAGTGGTAGTGGTGGTGGTAGTTGTGTAATGTTAAGTTGGTTCTTAATCATAATTACCCTTTATTGGATTTCATTGGCTGTAAGTCTTTCCAGAAGAAGAAAGCCTCATCTTTCTCAAATGGAAGCACTGGTAGATTTGAACTGCTGACCCTGCAGTTAACAGCCCAGCTGTTACATCACCAGGGTTCCTTATATTCTAAAGTTGTTGTTGTTGTTGTTGTTGTTAAGTGCCCGTCAGTGAATTCTGCTTCACAGCAACCCTGTGTAGGATTTGCAAGAAGAAACTGGTGATTTTGAACGATGGACCTTGTGGTCCAGTGATTTATCCCATAGCACTACACCAGGACTCAAAAATAGAAGGTGAAAATAAAAAAATGGCATGGGTTCTTCTATTTCATTGAAACATTTAGTAGCCAATTAAATGTTTAAGGAAAATGTGAAAAAGAATCACAAAAATGCACTTAAGTGTTGATTACTACAAGGAAAGGGCTGTTGGTAGAGGGGACTGAGGGAGACAAGCAAATAGAAATCATTTCTGTCTGAGTATTCCAGAAAAGCCTCATGACAGTTATGATTTATCCTGATTAGAACAGACTACTGGCACTTTAGGGAAAGCCCTGGACTTCTAACCACAAGATCAAACTGACCAGCTGCTCCTTGAAAGCTCTCTATGAGATCACTATTGAACTGGAACCCAACTGATGACATTTAACATACCAGAGTAAGTTACAGGCTTCACATCTCTTCAAGGCAACTGTGAGCAGAATAATGTGTGAACTGAAATCATTCATCTTTGGGAAGTACCCCTTCATTCTTTTACTCATGCAACAAGTAGTTATTAAGTGCCTATTTATTGCCTAGGAGTCCTGGTATGATGCTGTAGACTAATGTACTAGACTACAAGGTTAGTTTGAGCCATAAGGGAGGTGGTTCAAACCCACCAGCCACAACTTGGAAACTATGCAGAGTCACTATTAGTGGGAACCAACTTGATGGCACTTAACAACAACAACACTTATTGCCTAACCCTAGTCCTAATCCTGGAGTCCTTGTGGGGCACTGAGGATCAAGCTCTGTGCAGCAAGATCAGCTTGAACAGCAAAGCCAGCAGTTCAAACTCACCAGCCAGAAATCCTATACTATGAATAGGAGCCGACTCAGTGGTATTAAACAACACAACACTTATTGCCCAAGAATTCCTGGTAACATAGTGGGTTATGGGTTGGTCTGCTAATTGCAAAGGCAGGAGTTTGAATCCTCCAGTCACTCCATAGGAAAGATAAAGCTTTCTTCTTCCATAATGATTTGCTGCCCCCAAAATCCTATACAGGGTCTCTATGAATCAGAACTGACTCAACAGCACACAACCACCACCAGTACTTATTATCTAGGCTGAACTTATTATACAAACATCCTTGATCTTATGTTATTGTGCTTAAATGTGTTAATTTTTTATGTTATTCTAATATGCATCAATTATGTGAATTATGAAATATATACGCATCTATCTCTGTGTATATTTATGTATCATTGTTGCTGTCATTTGTTGCCATTGGGTTAGTTCCTACTTATAGTGACCCCATGAGTATAGAGTACACACTGTGCTTCATAGAGGTGTCAAGGCTGTGAGTTCTCTGACCCAGGTAGCCAGGCAGGTCTGTCTTCTGAGGCATCTAAGTGGGTTCAAACCACCAACCTTTAAGGTTGTAGTTGAATCTTAATTCTTGGCATCACAAAGGGATGCACATACACATACATACAGACACGTGTAAAAACACATACATTGTTGTTGTTGTTAAGTGCTGTTCAGTCAATTCCGACTCATAGCAACCTTTTATAGGGTATCCAAGGAGCAGCTGGAGAGTTTAAACTGCCAACCTTACGATTCAAACAGACCTTGCTGTCCAGTGTATTAACCCATAGTGCCACACAAGGACTCCATAAACACATATATACACACATATATATGCATGTTATTGTTGTTAAGTACTAGCAAATCAGTTCCTACTCATAGCATTATGTAGAGTTTCCTAGGAGCAGCTGATGAATTTGAACTGCCCACCTTGTGGTCAAATTGACCTTGGGGTACAGTCTTAATGCTACAGTGCCATGCCAGGATTCCTATATATGTATATGAATGTTGTTGCTCTTGTTGAGTGCCACAGTGTTTGTTCACATCTATAAAGGTTTTCCATGAGTGACTGCTGGATTTGAACTGCTGAACTTGTGATTACCAGTCCAGTGATTATCTTACAGTGCCACAGCAGGGCTCATGTATGTATATGTATATATTGTATGTGAGCATACATATACACACATATATACACACACATATGTGTGTGTGATGTCATAGTTAAGTGCTCCACAGCTAAAAGTAAGGCTGCTGTTTAAACACTTCCTCCACTGGGGTAGAAAAGACTTCATAATCTACGCAGAGACTGTTGTTTTGTTGTCAAGTACTGTTAACAACAGTGTATGCTCACTACTTAACAACAACAAATCCTAGGAGATAATTTTATTCTGTCACATCAGTTGCTATGAGTTGAAATCAACAAACACGGGCACACACAACATAGGTTTATATTTATGTGTGTATAGGGAGGTGTTGTTAGGTGTTGTCGAGTCAATGATGACTCATAGTAACCCTATACACAACAGAACAACACACAGCCTGGTCCTGCTCCATCCTCACAATTGTGATGTTTGAGCCCATTGTTGCTGCCATTGTCCATCTAGGAGTCCTGGTATGGCTCTGTAGGAGAATGAGCTTGACCACAAGGTCAGTTTGAGTCACTGGTGTTATGTTTCATCCCATTTTCACAGGCTCTGGGTCAAGTCAGTTCAACCTATTGAGGGTCTTCATTTACCCTGACCCTCCACTTTACCAAACATATTGTCCATTATCAGGGATTGGTCCCTCCTTTTACCTTGTCCGAAATAAATGAGATAAAGTTTTATCATCCTTACTTCTAAGGAGCTTCGCCTCCTGTAAACATTTGCAGCCTTGGAAACCGTATATAGGTCACAATGAATCAGAAGTGACTCGATGGCACACAGGAGCAGTAGCCGCAGCAGCATTCTAACACAGATTTATCCATTCCTCTGGCATCAGTGCTGTAGTCAATATTCTGGGACAACATCACAATTCAAATGCATCATTTTTTCCTTATTATATTGTTTGGCCCACTTTTATATGCTTATGTGGCATGTTAAAATAACAAAATTTGGGTCAGGGATATATTTTGGTGTATCTTTAGATATAAATATTGGTTTCTGTTTTATTTCTATTTCCTTCGCCAAAAGTCAGGATATAACACAATGAAAACGATGTTGTTGTTAAGTGCCCTTGAGTCAGTTCTGACTCGTGGCAACCCTATATAGAGTTTCTAAGGCTAGAAACCTTTGTTGGATCAGAAAGCCTCATCTTTCTCCATCAAGATTCTACATACAAGAATTATAAAGTTTCTTTAAAAACTTAGAGTTTCTTGAGTTATTTTCTATAAGATTAGTGTGTAAACTATAAATTTGAAAAGATTTTCTGAGATAAGGTGAATATTCTCCCTATTTTTCTTTAATTTTAATCTTGTTCCTTTTCTTTTTCATAAGAAACTATATTAAAAGAACCAAGGAAATAATGTATAAGGAGAAGACTATAACTTTTGACAACATGGTACCAAAAAAAATATCTATAACAGGACCCTCAGGTCTGAGAAATAGGGGTGGACTTTGAAGTAAGCCACATCCATATCTTCTCTACTTTTTGAAACACACTTCCTCTAATAGGGAGTATGGGTGTGGTGCAATAGGACAATGCAATGGACACAAGGTCTATTTGAAGCGTATGTTCAAACTCACCAGTCTCTCCCCGGAAACCCTGGACAGAGTCGCCATGAGTCAAAACCAACTCAAAAGCACTAGACAACAACTAAAATAAATCAGCCTCTAACATGAGACTTGTTGTAGTGCTGTAAGATAAACACTGCACTGCTACCACAAGGTGGGTGGTTCAAACCCACCAGCTGCCCCTTGGAGACCCTATACCAGATTGGTATGAGTTACAACTGACTGAATGATATTTAACAAAAACAAGAACCTGTAATAGGTGCTTGCTGAAAATGGAATAAAAACATCCAACTCAGGAAATTATCCACTCATGCTAAATCCATAACATTAATGCTTCTTATGTTTAATGAACCACTTACTTTTTCATTATTTTCCTATTATAATCTCAAGCAAAAAGATAAATATACCACTTTTAAGAATGTGACTTTACTCTCAAAAATGAAATACACTTTTTGCATAATGTTCGGAAGTGCCAACGAGTCAGTTGTGACTCATCACAAACCTGTATAGGCTTTGACCTGACTTCCTTAAGGTTAGCAGTCAAGTGCTTATCCTGTAATGCCACGCCAGTAAATAATAAATGATTATCCAATGGTCAGTAGAATTTCTATTATCAGGTAACAGTATTTGAACTACAAGTAGAATAGTTACCTCATAAAATTGTTTTCTCTTTGCAGATCAACTATTTCTAGCCTCTACTTTCCCCACACCTACTGAAACAATGCAGCAAAATAAATCTGTAACTGAGTTCATTCTCTTAGGATTGACTCAAGATCCTGTGAAGCAGAAAATGGTGTTCATAATTTTCTTGATTTTCTACACTGGAACGCTGGTGGGAAACTTTCTTATCATTGTGATCATCAAGTTTAGTCGGACACTTGGGAGTCCCATGTACTTTTTCCTATTTTATTTGTCTATGGCTGACACCTGCTTTTCAACTTCCACAGCCCCCAGATTAATTGCAGATGCTCTCTCTGCAAAGAAAGTTATTTCTTACAATGAGTGCCTGACACAAGTCTTTGCACTGCATTTATTTGGCGCCATGGAGATCTTTGTCATTACCCTCATGGCTGCTGATCGCTATGTGGCCATCTGTAAGCCCTTGCGGTACCCAACCATTATGAGACGACAGGTCTGTACCATCTTGGTTATTGTAGCCTGGGTAGGGTCACTCATACATTCTACAGCTCAGATTCTCCTGGCCTTGAAACTGCCGTTCTGTGGACCCAATTTAATTGATCATTACTGTTGTGATTTGCAGCCCTTGTTAAAACTTGCCTGCATGGACACTTATGCAATCAATCTACAGTTAGTGTGCAATAGTGGGGCCATTTGCTTAAGCAGTTTCTTGCTTCTGATGATCTCATATTTTTTTATCTTGCATTCACTGAGAAACCACAGTGCAGAAGGGAGGAAAAAAGCCCTTTCCACTTGCACCTCTCACATCATTGTTGTCATCTTATTCTTTG